GTAAGAACCACAACACGACACCACGTTACCACCCACGAAAAAAAAAAACTGAAGAAGAAGAAGAAGAAGAAGAGGAGGAGGAGAGGGTCTGTTTGTCTCTCCTCTTCATCCTCTCTCTCTTTCGTCTGCTCCTGACGCACCTGTCACACTCGTTGCACCTGTCGCTCCCTGTGGTGTCAACACAAACATCCCATAATAACAACACCTGTCTATAGTACCTCCTGGTCGCCATGACAACCTCACATGACTCCAGCAGCTTTAAATCCACACGCACTCTGTTTACAATCTGGTTTAGTCCTGGTTTAGAACTGGTTTAGATCTAGTTTAGAATTTATTTAGTCCTGGTTTAGATTTAGTTTAGAACTTCTTTAGTCCTGGTTTAGTCCTAGTTTACAGCTGGTTTAGATCTAGTTTAGATTTAGTTTAGAACTTCTTTAGTCCTGGTTTAGAACTGGTTTATATCTAGTTTAGAATTAGTTTAGATCTAGTTTAATCTTGATTTAGATCTAGTTTATCTGGTTTAGATCTAGTTTAATCTTGATTTAGATCTAGTTCAGAACGTATTTAGTCCTGGTTTAGTCCTAGTTTAATTTTGGTTTAGATCTACTTTAGATCTAGGTTTAGAATCTAATTTAGAACCTGCTTAGTCCTGGTTTAGTTCTGCTTTAGTCCTGGTTTAGTTCTGGATTAGTCCTGGTCCAGTCCTGGTTTAGTCCTGGTTTAGATCTAGTTTAGAACTTATTTTGGCCTGGTTTATTCCTAGTTTAATTCTTGTTTAGATCTAGTTTAGAACCTGTTTAGTCCTGGTTTAGTCCTCGTTTAATTCTTGTTTAGATCTAGTTTAGAACATTTTTAGAACATGTTTAGTTCTGGTTTAGTCCTGGTTTAGAACTTGTTTAGATCTAGTTTAAAACTGGTTTAGATCTAGTTTAGAACTTCTTTAGTCCTGGTTTAGAACTGGTTTATATCTAGTTCAGAACGTATTTAGTCCTGGTTTAGTCCTAGTTTAATTTTGGTTTAGATCTACTTTAGATCTAGTTTAGAACATGTTTAGATCTAATTTAGAACCTGCTTAATCCTGGTTTAGTCCTGCTTTAGTCCTGGTTTAGTTCTGGATTAGTCCTTGTCCAGTCCTGGTTTAGTCCTGGTTTAGATCTAGTTTAGAACTTATTTTGGCCTGGTTTATTCCTAGTTTAATTCTTGTTTAGAACATGTTTAGTTCTGGTTTAGTCCTGGTTTAGAACTGGTTTAGTCCTGGTTTAGTTCTGGTTTAGTTCGAGTTTCTTCGCTCTGCTCCTGTCTGCTCCTGTCTGCTCCTGTCTGCTCCTGTCTGCTCCTGCCTCGTTAATCTCCTGCTAATTGATCTTGTGGTGCGTTGGTGTGACATTTGCCGACTCGGACTCTGATGGATGGAGTTTGATAAAGACGAGAGGCTGAACTTTAGATTCAAAAAGACCAAACCATCGAGATAATTAACCAAGAGAGAGGATTAAACACGCCACGAGTGGATTAGGCCTGCGTCAGATGCCCTCCCATCCTCTGTATCCCTGTGTGTCAGATGCCCTCCCATCCTCTGTATCCCTGTGTGTCAGATGCCCTCCCATCCTCTGTATCCCTGTGCCCTCCCATCCTCTGTATCCCTGTGTGTCAGATGCCCTCCCATCCTCTGTATCAATGTGGAGTTAGACTGAGATGGGGGCAGGTTAAATGTAGTTAATCTGTGGATGTGAGGGTGGTTCAGATGCCCTCCCAGGTCTCGTGGTGTGTCAGATGCCCTCCCAGGTCTCGTGGTGTGTCAGATGCCCTCCCAGAAGTTACGGTGTGTTTGGATACAGGCAGCAGGGGAATGGACTTTGTCTCTGACAGAAATGATCAGAAAGAAACTCATTTGTGGATTTGACTTTTGGAAATTTCTGATGAAAATACAGAGAATCAGAGGTGGTTTGTGTTCCGTTACATTTACCAAAGTAACTTTTTAAAGAAATTATACTTTTAGAGTACTTTTATAACTTTTACTTGAGCTATAATTTTATTGAAGTAACAGTACTCTTACTTGCAGACAGACATAAGGAAGTGTCCACCAGTATTCTGACCAGAACTGAAGAAGCAGCGTAGATGAGCTGTGAAACGTATTCGACCAAACAAAATTTGTGTCCAGTCGACAAACTGATTTCTCTTCTTGCCACAGTACTCTTACTGGAGTAAAAGCTGTGGTCCCTCTTTTCACTATGAGTAAGTCTAAAGTGACAAAAACTTTATGTGACCATGTGAAATGATTTGAACATTTGTGTTTCTTGCACTTCTCCTTCAGATCTGATAGTAGATAGATCTGATAGTAGATAGATCTGATAGTAGATAGATCTGATAGTAGATAGATAGATCTGATAGTAGATAGATAGATCTGATAGCAGATAGATCTGATAGTAGATAGATAGATCTGATAGTAGATAGATAGATCTGATAGTAGATAGATAGATCTGATAGTAGATAGATAGATCTGATAGTAGATAGATAGATCTGATAGCTAGATAGATAGATCTGATAGTAGATAGATAGATCTGATAGTAGATAGATCTGATAGTAGATAGATAGATCTGATATAGGATAGATAGATCTGATAGTAGATAGATAGATCTGATAGTTTAGTTTGTCTCTTTTTTGGGTCTGTCCTTTGAAAATATCAGATTTGATGCATTATTTAAAGATGCATTGCGTAACTTTTTGGGCACCTGCTCGCCTCCATGTAGATGTTATTGTTTTTCCCTGGAAACCTTTACAGTCTGGCATTTCATTTAACCATCTCCATGAAGACGAGCGGACCACATCACCAGACCAAGTTACAGGTCAGATCTGTGGAGAAGTGGACCTGCTCACAGTCACAATCCATGTTTCTGTGGTAGTTTTGAGAAACAAAAATGTATTCAAAAATTGAATAAATTCAAGACATATTTGTTTAATGCCAAACTGTGGAACATCCCAGGCCAAATGATAACATCACCATGGAGACAAGGAATGTTACACAGTGCACCTTTAATGTTTTGATCTTCAAATTATAAATCAGATGTTACGCTCTGACAGTTACTCTTTAAACATGCACTGCAGTGTGTAACTTTTCTGTTTCGTTTGTTGTTTCGTTGTTTCGTTGGTTCTTCAAGTGCTTTTCTCTGTTTAGATGTTGTTGCTTTGTCTGGAATGTTCCACAGTATGGCATTAAGCCTTTTTATCATTATGGAGGCCAAACCAGACCAAGTTACAGGTCAGATCTGTGGAGAGGAGACCTCACTCACAGTCAGAATGTCTGTTTTTCAAGGTATATTTGAGCTGTGAAACCACCTGTGATTGAATAAATGTAAAGTAGAGCTGTTTAATGTCACATTGTGGAACATTTCAGGCAGAGCAATGACATCTCCATAGAAACAAGCAGGCGTCAGACCCCAACCAAAAAGTGTACCTTTAAGTTACTCTTAGTTGAGTAGTACTTTTTGTAAATACTTTTTAACTCTTAACTGAGTCATTTCTTGGACACTACATTGTACTTCACTGTAAAAAAGCTTGGCCAAAATTTAAGATAGAAACACTTAAATCGATCAGAAAATGATTTAAAAGTGAAGTGAAAAGATCTGTCCATGCAGCAAGATCAATTTACTTGACCAGATCTTAAAATAAAATACCTCGAGACTCAAATGAAGCGCCTCAGAACTAGTAAGAAGATCATCAATCTGAAAACATGATCGTTTTAAAATCTTGGCCAGATCAGGGAAATTTGCAGTGTACTCGAGTAATATTATTTTAAGTTGAAGTTTGAAGCACCTCTGGCAATTACTCTGACTTTTTTTCTTCTTTAAACTCTAGACAAACGTGGCCCTGACCTCTCCAGATGTTCTTTAAACTCTTGCGTTGTTGTGCCTTTGAGCCTGCCCCGTTCCGCTCTGATCTTTTCCTCCGTTTGGTGTTTGATTCTCTTCCGTCTGTCTCTCCTCTTCATCTTCAAAAAACAACATGGCGCCTTTCTTCTCCCTCTTCATCGCGGCTGACCCTTGACCCGTGCGAGCGTTTAGGCACAGACGCGGCGCCATCTGTGGGAGAGAGAGCGGTACTGATGAAAAGACGCGGCAGATTTTGTGTCTCCGCTTTAATCACTTTTAAACGAGCTTATCCGACTTTAAACACAATTAGAACGTTTAAAGAAGAACTATTTTACTTCTATGAGGCATTAACTGTAACACAAAACATATTTAGATCACTGTGTTAACTTTTTATAGTTTGAAAATTATATATTCAACACTGTAAACCCGAATACTCAAAGTAATTAAATAGATGAAGTTGTGTATACTCAAAGTTTTAGAAATAGTCCTACTAACTTAATTATGTCAAGTTGCTGTAACATGTTCTTCTTTTTGAGTAATTTTAACTCAACTTTTTAAATTGAAGGTCTGATTGTGGGTATAAGTGAGCGTAACTTAAAAACATAGATGAGGTAGGATTTAGTAGATTGAAGTAATTAAACACTGAGAATGATGAAGTCCTGTTATTTCAAATAGGGATGATTTAAAAATAAACTTAATTGATATACAGTGGTCCCTCGTTTATCACGGCCGCAATAACCCGCGATAGGTGAAATCCGCAAAGTATTCAGCTTTATTTTTTACAATTATTATTTCTGTTTTAAGGCTGTAAATCCCTAGCCTGATTCATCAGCCAGTTTCATTTCGTTTCACTTTGTAGAAACCGTCTGACCTCACAGTGTTAGGATTCGTTCGCTCGACAGTAGGCAGGTACTTTTTTTTATTTAACCAGTCACTGCTATTTGGTCGTCACGTTTGTAATGCGCCACAAACAGGACTAACTGGTGTATTAAGCTTTTCCCAAATCCCATAGGAAGAAAGACAATAACGTCTTTCCCCTTGATAAAATTCACCAAACATTCTCTTTGTTCCAGCTTTAAATCCTCGATCTCGGGAATTGTTGCCAACATAGAATGTGTGACTCTTCGCTGATTG